CATAACTGACATCTCTGAAAATAAGGCTATCAGATAATCATACTTCTGCCGCTTGTTGAAGAAGAAAAGCATTAGACAGAATATCATCTTTTTAAATCAGTATGCTGGGTTGAAATACCATTTATTTGGAAAGTTAGTCTTTAATGTTCCCCTCATCGGAGTCTTGTTCATCTCATTTTTTTGATTGAGGTATTATTTATTGAGCTGTGTTGACGTATAATGTATACACCATAAAATTCCTTGTTTTAAATGTACAATTCAGATATTTTTAGAAAAGTTATGAGTTGTGCAGTCATAACCACAATCCAATTTTAGAACATTCCCATCATCCCCCCTAAAAGTCCCTCTTCCCATTGACAGTCCTTCTGTGATCCCACCCCCAGCCCCAGATAACCACCTATCTACTCTGTTTCTATAGATGTACCTTTTCTGTACCACAGGCACAGAGCTTCCATTGGATTATTTTTTTATCAAATAGACTTCCATCCAGTCCTCCTGTCTTAGTATCACCTTCATTCCACTTCAACTTGTACTTCAGCAACCAGTTCCTGAGCCTTTTGGTGGGTAGGGGGCTTATATAAGTCAGGGTGTTTTATCCACTGCCAGTTTAGGGTTTAGCTTTCTGGGTGTGCTAAGTCAGCTCACACTCATTCATTCACGTATTTACTAGCTTCCAAACACAAAACCAAAAAACTTCAGCGTATTTTTAATGGGGTTTCAGGAATGAGTTGGGGGTAAATGAATGTGTGCAATCTACTACCACCTATAACTAGAAATCTTCCCCACTGAGATTGATTTACCCTTTTCACTTATTTAAGGTTGCTAAAAGACTGGAATATCTTGGAGTTTATTCATTGTCCTTAGGGAATGTAGAACTCATGTGGGGTAGATTCTATCATTCACACATTGGTCTTTAGGAAGAGTGAAAGGGAGCCTGTAAACAGCCAGTAGCTGGTCCCACATGTGTGCGTGCTTCCAGGGCTGTAGCTGAATGAGCATTTGCTCCTTATTTGACAGGTTGTGTGCCCATCATCAGAAACATCACAAACTTTTAAATGTTCAAGCTTGGCCATCTATGCCTCTCTTTTCGTCACACCCTCTGTGCTCTGGCTTTGTCTTAAGCTTTTCCAAGTCTCAGTACTTTCTTTATTTTCCCATAGGATCATGGATTTTCCTGGACACTTTGAACAGATCTTCCAGCAACTGAACTACCAAAGACTTCATGGCCAGCTCTGTGATTGCGTCATCGTAGTGGGGAATAGACATTTTAAAGCCCACCGCTCCGTACTGGCAGCCTGCAGCACGCATTTCCGAGCCCTGTTCTCAGTGGCAGAGGGAGATCAGACCATGAACATGATCCAGCTGGATAGTGAGGTAGTGACAGCGGAGGCCTTTGCCGCACTGATTGACATGATGTATACCTCCACCCTCATGCTGGGAGAGAGCAATGTTATGGATGTCTTATTGGCAGCCTCTCACCTGCATTTGAACTCTGTTGTTAAGGCATGCAAACATTACCTAACAACAAGGACACTGCCCATGTCTCCCCCCAGTGAGCGTGTTCAGGAGCAGAGTGCTCGCATGCAGCGCTTCTTTATGTTGCAGCAGCTGGGACTAAGCATCGTGAGCTCAGCCCTCAATTCCAACCAGGGTGGTGAGGAGCAGCCGGCCCCCATGAGCTCATCAATGCGCAGTAACCTGGACCAGCGGACACCCTTCCCCATGAGGCGCCTTCATAAGCGCAAGCAGTCTGCAGAGGAGCGAGCCAGGCAGCGCCTCCGACCGGCCATGGATGAGTCTGCCATTTCCAACGTTACTCCAGAGAATGGGCCATCAGGGGTTCATTCTCGGGAGGAGTTCTTCTCACCAGATTCTCTGAAAATTGTGGATAACCCTAAGGCCGACGGAATGACTGACAACCAGGAAGACAGTACCATCATGTTTGACCAGTCTTTTGGTGCTCAAGAAGATGCCCAGGTGCCCAGCCAGTCTGACAACAGTGCCGGCAACATGGCACAGTTGTCCATGGCCTCTCGTGCAACTCAGGTTGAAAGTAGTTTTGAGCAGGAAGGTGCAACTGAGAAAAGTGGTTTTCAGTGTGAAAATGCCGAGGTTGGCCTTGGTGAGAAGGAGCACATGAGAGTGGTGGTTAAATCTGAGCCCCTGAGCTCTCCTGAGCCTCAGGATGAAGTGAGCGATGTCACCTCACAAGCAGAAGGCAGCGAATCTGTAGAAGTGGAAGGAGTTGTGGTCAGTGCTGAGAAGATAGACCTCAGCCCTGAAAGCAGCGATCGGAGTTTTTCAGATCCTCAGTCTAGCACTGACAGGGTAGGTGACATCCATATTTTGGAAGTCACAAATAACTTGGATCATAAGTCCACTTTTAGCATTTCAAATTTTCTTAACAAAAGCAGAGGAAGTAACTTCAGTGCAAATCAGAACAATGACGATAATATCCCAAATACCACTAGTGACTGCAGGCTGGAGTGCGAGGCCCCTTATTTGTTGAGTCCAGAGGCTGGGCCTGCAGGCGGGCCCTCCTCGGCCCCCGGCTCTCACGTGGAGAACCCATTCAGTGAGCCTGCAGATTCCCACTTTGTTAGGCCTATGCAGGAAGCGATGGGCCTGCCGTGCGTGCAGACTTCAGGCTATCAAGGAGAACAGTTTGGGATGGATTTTTCCAGATCTGGTTTGGGCCTTCACTCCTCCTTCTCCAGGGTAATGATGGGCTCCTCAAGAGGAAAGGCCAGTAACTTTCCATACTACCGCCGCATAGCTCCCAAAATGCCAATTGTAACTTCCGTCAGGAGCTCACAGATCCCAGAAAACTCTGCCAGTTCCCAGCTAATAATGAATGGGGCCACGTCCTCATTTGAAAACGGCCATCCCTCCCAGCCTGGCCCTCCGCAGTTGACCAGGGCATCTGCTGATGTCCTGTCAAAGTGCAAGAAGGCCTTATCAGAGCACAATGTCTTGGTTGTAGAGGGAGCTCGCAAGTACGCCTGCAAAATCTGCTGCAAGACTTTCCTGACCTTGACAGATTGCAAGAAGCACATCCGTGTTCACACAGGTGAAAAACCCTACGCCTGCCTCAAGTGTGGCAAGAGGTTCAGTCAGTCCAGCCACCTGTATAAACATTCGAAGACTACCTGCCTACGCTGGCAGAGCAGCAGTCTTCCCAGCACTTTGCTCTAACCCTGACCTTTTGAGATAATGTCGATGCCAGTTGTAGGAACGAAACTAAAATCTCTTTTGGTCGGGAGCTAATGCCCTTGGGTTTGAGGCTTCCGGCTGCCCAATGGCTCTTGCAAATTTCGATGACTAATAAGTGGAGAACTAATATGTGTAGCACTTGCGCTGCTGCATTTCTAAGTGAAATGTATGCTGTCAGAGAGGGATGCAATCCCCCAAACCAACTTCTTCCTTAGGATTGAGTAACGCAGCCAGAAAGTAGTTTGTAATTGATGTTAAAAGTGGCACATGTAAAAATTAAAAATTGAAGTGCAAGAAAAATTTTTTTTAGCAATTTTTATAAAACTCTGAAGCATTTAATTAAATTTCCTATACCCCCAATGGGAATATTATGTAACTGTACAGTGATGCAAAACACACTTATGTGTAACCAGTGGCGACTTTGTGCCCGTCTAAAAGGCCCTTGAGGACGTGCCTGTCTGCCACAAATGCTTTAAAGTCTATCAGGAGCTAGTCCTAGGCCTCAGAAAGTACTGTATTTTTTATTTTTGTCTGACTTGCAGTCACAGACACTGCACTTTGATGGTGCTGACACTGGGTCCGGAGCAAGCATTCTCTGGACTGTTAGGTGTATATACTTTTGAAAACATCACTGTCGGATAGATGTTTTTAACAAAATTTTCCTGGTTTTAAAAACAAAGTTGTAAATGGAGTATGTACTTGTAGGGAGTGACAACAAGTAAGGTATTGTTTCTGTGCTGTTTTAGCAGTATTTTAACCAGCTTGTATACATATGTTACAGTTCCATGTTTGGAAGTCAGAAAAGAGCTAGCGTTTGTCTTTGTTCTGATGACGTGGAGTCCTGTCTTGTGGGATCTTTCATAGCGCATTTACCCTTTGCTCCATCCAGACTTTGGGGGCCAGTCCAGCCTGACACTCTTACCCAATGACAAGCCCGTTCTCTGCTTTGCTTCTTCATACTCTCACACCCTGTATGGCATCATTCCAAGGCCTAGGTTGGTGTTTTCAGTTACAGACTAACCAAAAATAAGGTCAACCCTCTTCACCATGGGTGTTATTACTGTTACATAGTTTAAAATGTAGAACCTGAACTTTTGTTGTTGCCCCAGCCCAATACTGAATGTTTGAAATCCAAACGTAGCATTGTTCGTGGGTAAATATTTTCCAGATTCTGTAAGAGGGTTGGGGAGCTCACAGTACAGAAGTTACTAAGTAACATCTGAGACTGTTGGAAGAGACATTTGGGTCACTGCCCAGGGCCTCTTTGGGTCCCACCGCCTCACTTCCCCAGCCCACCTTGCGGTCTTCTGATTCTCTGCCATCAGGGCTGTTGGTGACACCTGGGAAACAGCACAGGTTATGTGTCTCTGTAGAGCCCGTGAAGTCAGTACAATTCATGCATGAACATGAGTTCATTTTTTATACCGCTTTTTTAGACACCAACTATTGTGCGTAATTGAGAGCAATCCTTCAGTTCTTATGTTTAGAAAGCTAAGTATGTGTAGCCTGAAAGAAAAATCAGCGTGTTTTCTCCTCTGAATCTAGTGTGTGCAGTTACACATCTGTCTGTGGATAAACTCAAAACGTTCATAGTCGGGCTTAGCATCTTCTTTGAACAGATTCCCAGGGAGGAAAGGAAACCTCTGGAATTCCTCTCCTTTCCAGCAAATTTGGGAAAGAGACTGGAAGACATGGGGTCACTTGTGAAATTCAGTTGTATGTGTGGCTAATTGTTAGCAGCTGTTTTCTGACAATGGGAGGAGGCTCTGCATCTACCCC